CTAACTTTATCTCCCAGTTGTTCAACCTGGGCTGTACCTCTGATGATCTCATTCCTAATCTTATCCATCCTTGTCACTCCTTAGGAGAACCTCAACATCTTCATTTCTGCCACTTCCAGTTTTTTCTCCTGTCTTTTTGTCAATGCCACTGTCTCCAGACCATACAACATAGCTGGTCTCACCAATGTCTTGAAAACTTTTCCATTGACCTTTGCTGACACCCTTTTGTCACAAATCACTCCTGAATCTTTTCTCCATCCACTCCATCCTGCCTGGACTCTTTTTCACTTCTTTACCACATTCCCCATTTCCCTGGACAGTGAACCCCAAGTCCGTGAAGTCCTGCACCTTTGTGACCTCTGCTCCTTGTAGCCTCACTGTTCCACCTCCTCCCTCTCATTCACACACATATACTGTCTTACCACGGCTGACTTTCATTCCTCTTCTTTCAAGTACATACCTCCACATCTCCAAGTTCTCTTCCACCTGTTCCATGTTCTCACCACAGATCACAATGTCATCAGCAAACATCATCATCCATGGGGATTCTTGCCTGACCTCGTCTGTTAGTCAGTCCATCACCAGAGCAAACAAGAAGGGGCTCAGAGCCGATCCTTGATGCAATCCCACCTCCACCTTGAAGCTATCTGTCACTCCTACAGCACATCTCACCACTGTCCTGCTGTCCTCATACATGTCCTGTACCAGTTGAAAGGTTTTGGGGTGTTCAAATGACCCGAGCACAGAATTTCAGGAGCACTTCACCTTAGTATTAAAGATTTAATTGAGACAAAGTTAAAGTATGCAAATATTACATGTAATCAGAATGCAGTCTGAGGAACAAAGTCAGAGTGAACCTTGCCTGGTCAATCAGCCTCGTGTTTGTTCAACCAAACTTTGTGTCTGAGCGAGATTTATAGATTTCTCATGTCCTGCCCTTTCGGGTTCAGACAGACTTGTGATTGGATGTCAAAACCTCTTGATGATCCGAGTGACACCATGTTCAGCCACTCAAGAGCAGATCTTATCTCCATGGTAACCTCCGAAGGCCGCAGATAGCCTTCGGCTCACTCTTCTACTGATAAGGGTTGATTTACGAGCTTTGTTTTGGAACGCAGGACACTTACTCTGGCTTTCGTCTGTATAGAGTTTTAAAACACATTTTCTGTGTGACTGAACTATTATTAACGTGAGAGCATAAATACTCAACCTATGTTAAGTATAAAGTATATGAATGTTGTGATTTAGCGTTATTTATGTTAATCAATGTGTGAGCAGTGTGTATCCTTAGCACTTGTGAGATTATATATAACATGAAGTAATTAGTGTATGATTATCCTTAGCACTTGTGAGATTATATATAACATGAAGTAAACACTTTAGAATTAATGCAGGCCTGTAAATATAGTTCAAATCCTTTAATTCAGACACGCACACACCTTGTAGAAAATGCATCATTTCACATCATCAGAGAAATGTCAAGGCTTGTCAAAAGATATAAAAAGATATAAAAGATATCAAATCCAACACAGTCTAACATACTTTTCAGCCACTCCAGATTTACTCATGCAATACCACACCTCCTCCCTTGGTACTCTGGCATATGCTTTTTCTAAATCCACAAAGACACAATGGAGTTCTTTCTGACCCTCTCTATACTTCTCCATCATCATCCTCAAAGCAAAGATGGATCTGTTGTGCTTTTTCTTGGCATGAAACCATACTGCTGCTCACAAATAGTCAACTCTCATCTAAGTCTTGCTTCCACAACTCTCTCCAAGATCTTCATCGTGTGGGTCATCAACTTAATTCCCCTGTAGTTGCTACAACTCTGTACATCACCCTTGTTCTTAAAAATGGGCACCAGCACACTTCTTCTCCATTCCTGAGGCATTCTCTCACCCTCAAATATGCCATTGAATATTTGAGTCAAAAACCTCACTGCCATCTCTCCAAGGCATTTCCAAACCTCCACTGGTATGACCTCAGGTCCTACTACCTTCCCCTTCTTCATTCTTTTCAGAGCTTTCCAGACTTAACCCTCACTAATCTTTCCCACTTCCTGGTCCACAGTTTCTATGACCTCTACTCTTCTTTCTCTTTCATTTTCTTCATTCATTAGCTCCTCAAAGTACTCCTTCCATCTTCCCATCACACTCTCCTCACTTGTTAGAACATTACCATTCCTATCTTTAATAAGCCTAACCTGCTCCACATCCTTTCCAGCCTGATCCTTCTGTCTTGCCAATCGGTACAAGTCCTTCTCACCCTCTTTAGTGTCCAGTCTCCCATACAACTCATCGTATGCCCTCTGCTTTGCCTTAGCTACATACCTCTTTGCTCTACATCCCATCTCCTTATATTCCTGTCTCCTCTCTTCAGTCCTCTCACTGTCATATTTCTTCTTAGTTAATCTCTTTCTTTGAATGGCGTCCTGCACTTCACTGTTCTACCACCAGGTTTCCTTATCATCCATACTCTGTCCAGATGACACACCAAGTACCTTCCTACCTGTCTCTCTAATTACTGTTGCTGTAGTAGCCCAGTCATTTGGACGCTCCTTCTTACCACCCAGAGCCTTTAACAGCTCCTCTCTGAATTTCTCACAACATTCTTCCTTCTTCATCTTCCACCATTTGGTCTTCTTCTCTGATTTTACTCTTTTTCTCTTCTTCACAACAACAGTCATTCTCCACACAACCATATAATGCTGTATGGCCACGCACTCCCCTGCCACAACCTTACAGTCTCCAATCTCCCTCAGGTTTCCCCTTCTACACAGAATGTAGTCGACCTGCGTACTCCTTCCACTTTTATAGGTCACTATTGTTCTTCCATCTTTTGGAAATAGGTATTGACTATAGCCATTTCCATTCTCTTGGCAAAATCCACCACCATCTGTCCTTCTTGGTTTCTTTCCTTGACACCAAACCTACCCATCATTTCCTCATCCCCTCTGTTTCCTTCACCAGCATGTCCATTCAGGTCTGCTCCAATCACCACTCTCTCCTCCCTGGGAATACTCTCTATCACTTCATCCAGATCTTTCCAAAATGTATCTTTCTCCTCCTCATCACATCCAACCCGTGGAGCATAACCACTGACGTTGTTTAGCATCAGACCTTCTACTTCTACCTTCAGGCACATCATCCTATCTGACATGCTCTTCACCTCCACTATATTCTTTGCCAACTCCTCCTTTAGGACCACCCCTACTCCATTCCTCTTTCTATCCACACCATGGTAAAAACAGTTTGAACCCTTCTCCAATGCTGCGAGCCTTGCTGCCCTTCCACTTGGTCTCTTGGACACATAAAAAAATCTACCTTTCTTCTCTGCATCATCTTCCAGCTCTCTACCTTTGCCTATCATTGTCCCCAAATTTAGAGTTGCAACCCGCAGTCCTACATTCTTCACTTGCCTCTTCGCCCTCTGTCTCCTGACACATTTCCCTCCTCATGGTCTTCGGCTAACAGTAGCACAATTTCCGCCGGCACCCTGTTTGTCAACAGCACCGGTGGCAGTCATTGTTAACCCGGGCTTTGACCGATCCGGTATGGTTTCGCTTTTATGAACTCGCATTATTGTTTTGGCAAAAGTTTTTTATATCGGATGCCATTCCTGACACAACCCTCACCATTTACCCAGACTTGGGACCAGCATAAGTGATACACTGGCCTACTTGTGCTCCCTAGTGGCTGGTTTAAACACATAATACATATATGACAATTAAATGTATAATTTAGTTATTAAATACATCATTAAATAATTAAATATATAATTAAATTATTAAATACACCATTAAATAAAGAAATGTACCTTTTAAATTATTTATGTCATGATTTATTTATTTATTTTATTTTGTCACATTTTGCCTTCCAGTGTCACCATGAAATTATGTTAAATGGCAGCCTCTCTTGTCAAACTAAGTGGGCGGGACTAACCCTAACCCTGATGCCTGATTGGCTGCTCCTCACAACAAGTGAAGACAAATTGACCACTTATTCACCTATTTGTCCTTATTTATTTTATTACTCTTAGGAAATGTTAACAGTGTGGAGAGATACATTCCTGCTGTTACATCTGATTTTTATTGTTTAAACATGTCCCTGTTTCTTAATTTCATGTTGATAACGTTTAATTGTTTTTGTCTCTGAGCTGGAAATGTCCCTAGATTTAACTTCAGAAATCTGGTCACCTTAGCATGGAGGGAGCTGCCATGTTTGAACTGACATCAGACCGAAGCAATGGATTTCACATGCTCAGTGTTAGTCCCGCCCACTGAGTTTGATGAGTGAGACTGACAGTTAACATAATTTCATGGTGACACACGATGGTGGAATGTGACAAAATTAAATAATTGAATAAATCTAAATAATTTAGTTGTGTATTTAATAATTTAATTGTATATTTAATTGTATATTTAATGGTATATTTAATAATGGAATTGTTTATTTAATGATTTAATGACGCTTTTACAAACTAAATGCTACATTCATTGTTATGTATTTATTTATTTCATTTTGTCACATTCCATCCTCCATACCTTACTGCTCATTGAAGTGATACAGTACATGCATGTTCTGGTGTGATTAAAAGTTAAACAAAAAGACAATAACTGCAATACTAATACAAGCATGTCATCTATTATGTCTGGGGATGTAGGCTAGGCAGGAGGCATGAATTATATTTTTGGGATTTTTTTCCTCTGCTCCACTCATTTAAAAAAAAAAAAAAATCTTGTTTTGGGACTCCTTACATGTCATTTGAGTGGGTCAGAATGGACTAAAGTTTGAATTATTTAAAAAAAAAGAAAGAAAAGTTTTAGTTTTTAAATTTTATTCTTCAAAGTTTTCATGTGGATGTGAATATCCTCCAATCCTACGATTTGTTTAACGAAAATAAGAAACTTCAGAAATGAGACTTTGCTCTCAAATTTTCATTTTTATAATAAAAATTTGGCTTTGTTTGACAAAGTTCTTTTTTATTTTTTCTCACAGTATAACATCATCAAGCTGGAGGTAAGAAAGTATACAAACTTTTTGTTGTTCAGAAAGTTATTCACCTAAACATATACATCAATGTGTATGTGTAGCTATGTTTATCAAATGTGTTCTCATGTTAAATAACATATTAATAACAAAATGTGCATGACTGGGCAGGAAAGGACGGCATTGGTCTCTAATACATCATGCATTTAGCAAATTTAAAATTATAGTATCTAAATGTTTGTTTGTTACTGGACTGTAACTGAAGACATTAAAATCTTCATTTCAACATTTAAAGACTATCACTTCTTGTTTTTATTTATTATTTTTACTCTTTGAACAGGATCCCTTTGACAACAGGATTGGACAGTGGCTCAATGAAACGTCCAATAGCAAAATACTACAGCTTTCTTATTCCCTGAACTCTGAGGCTCGTGAAGGAACTTACGAAATTGTTGTCTCAGTAGGTGAAAGAAAAACACATCACAGCTTCAAGGTGGAAAAGTATGGTAAGTTGGTAATATTTTTAGAAATTAAAAAAATTATTTTTTTAGTTATATCTAAATACTAAAGTAACCACCTTTTTTTTTCAGTTTTGCCCAAATTTGCCACAACGATAAATGTTAGAGATGAAGTAAGTATTGGATCAGAAGAATTTGATGCTGAAGTATGTGCAAAGTAAGAAAAAGTTTATTTCTTACAAAACAATATAAATTTAGAAATTTGATTTACATTCTCTTTGATGTATAAATGACTTACTGGTATGTTCTCATTTAATTAGGTACACATACGGACAGCCAGTGCCAGGAAGTATTACGGTTAAAGTGTGCCGACCTTTTAGGTACCATTATTTGGGTATGCAATCAAGACACCCAGAAGAACTTGAAGCAACTCCACTATGCGACACAAAAACAAAGGAGGTAGAGTCGGTTCAATTTTTCACGTTTTTCTACGTTAAAATGTCAGAGGGATTCTGCGCTCCTTTTTTATCCATTGTTTCTTGAACCTAATCCTGTATACATCTTAAGCTTCATGCAACTTGTTTAGTACTATTTTATCTTCTTACTGGAGAAAGTAGTGTGAAAAGATACTTGTAATGTTTGGTGCTCCATTGTCCTACTAAGAGTAAAGTCATTTCCTAATTACTACTACTACTTACTTACTTGCTAGCACTTATTACATACTTTGCTAACTCATGCTTGAATAATAACCTGTGTTTATTTTATTTTTTCTGCGCAGCTTCACTTTGAAGGTTTCATTCCACCTTTATTTATACAGGCTAGTCTCATTGAGTCACGAGGACTCCTTTACAAGAAAGACATGTTCCAGATGGATCATATAAAGTACAAATAACAATAACAATAAATTACAGTAAAAATGCAGTTAAAAATAAAAGTACTGTTATAAAATAATAAATCAGGGTATCGTAAAAAGCAACAACACTTTATTTAAGTAGGTGAATGTAATGCAACATAACACTGATAAGACTGTTCAGTGAAGGGATGGCAGTTCTTTTAAATGTACTGTTCTTTTTTAATTACTGGATTCCTAGAATCAGTTCATTGAAATATTTTGTTTAAAAGACTAGTTCACTCGATCTTTCAGTTCATGCAGTTTATTTGTGCAGTATGCACAAGTGTACACAGTGCCACTTCCAGCACAGTACTATGTACTTTGTAAACAAATCACTCTTCAGTGTCAGTATTTTGTGTGCGCTTGCACAAATTGGCAGTTGGTTCACTGAACGAATCACTCCCCTGCCCTCTGTGACAGACTTCACTCTCTGTTGAGCCCATGTTCATGAGTGACACAACACTACAGAAGCAAGCAGCACGTTTGTAATAAGGGGGGCAAGATGGGGTAGAGGTAGGGCAGCTGACTCTGGACCCGAAAGTCCCAGACTCGATCCCCAGTCATTGCACATCTCGTGGTGTCTCCGAGCAGGACACACTATCCCCAAGTGCTCCCCGGGTGCCCTCAATAGTTGCCCACCACTACACCTGGGGGTGGATGGGTTAAACACAGAGAGCCAATTTCAACATTGTATGGGAACATATGGGTCCTCTAACAGAAAATGTTGAATAACAGAGATGCCATTTCCTGCATTTTGGTGTATTTTAACGGGTTGTTATACATCAATATTTATGTACATTTGTAAACTCTTAATAAAATCACTATTTTGGAGAGGAACAGCAGGTTGTGTATGAATGAGCAGCTCTGATTCCATCAGGTGTCCTAAACCCCCCTCCCCCCCACTTCACGGTTCTGAGCTGAACTCTTCTCTGCTCCTGCTCCAGTCTCTGGCACCGTTTGAAACACCGCAAGGCTTCAGTTCTCTGTTGTCCAACTAAGGACAGTCCATCCATCCATCCATCCATCCATCTTTTATTAAAGTAAATTGGACTGTCTTTTTTACATTTTGATCGCTGTTGTTATTTTGACAAATTAGTGCCGTTGTTTTGAAACGTGATGTATAATGTGAATAACACATCACACATTACTCTGTATTTTTTTTATTTATTTTTTAACAGTAAGATTTTTTTTATTTAATATGTCTGAAATGTAACAGGAGTTCAGACAACTGCTGATGTCGTGCGCACGCTAGAGCTGTCTGGAGACGTTTTTGTGCGTAACGTGCACTGTCCACAGGGCATTTATTTATTCTGTTGAATAAATGATCGATTCTGTTTCGAGGGTCTGAGAGGAGGGGAGAGGGTGTTTTTCAGTGCGCAGTCCCACTGAGTAGGGACAATATTTGGAGAGGAGGAGAAGAGAAGGACTCTGTGTAGAGTCTCTGTGCGTAAATGTGACAATCTGTCCCTCCGTCCTCACCCCCCCACACCTAGAGGCTCCTCTCCTGCTCCTCGAAGGAGTGTGTAGCTGGTGCGCCGCACGTGCTGCGGCTGGAACATCCACAGACTGGGTCCGCCGAGCTAAAAGCAACGTCTCCTCTCGTATTTTTAATAAATAATCAAACTAAAAATGCACGATGACTTTGAACTTTTAAGGGCGGAGCTGCCGGATCTGAACAAAGAGTTGCTGGAACAGAACGGGTCAAAATGAGAGCGTTCCCAGATCTTGTTCCGGCAGGATCCGGCTCAAATTAACCACTGGTCACAAGTGAGTCAGGCAACGTGGAAGTTCCACTACCTACCAGCATGCTCACGCTGTGCTCAGCTGAACTGAGTGTGTGAATGACACAACGCTACTGTTGTCCTGGGATTCCCACAATATGTTATAACTCACAGTAACAGTAGCAGATCCAGTAAACTCTCAAAACAATCAAAACCCATATTAAACCAAACAGAAACTCACCTATATAATATCCTATAAACCACTTTGATTTTTACTCATTTGAGGGTTCAACTGCAAGTGCCTATTGATCAGGCCTCAACCTGAGAGGCCAGGGCCTCTACCCAATGAACCCAGTTGGGCTCAGTGCAAGTGAGCTGCGGAGCATACAGGATCAAACACAGATCATCTGGTGTTGAAAGCTACTGAATAGTAGTGAGTTTTTAAACGGGACTTGAAAACTGAGAGGGAGGGGGTCTGCCTGACAAGCAGAGGTAACTCGTTCCAGAGTCTTGGTCCTGTTACAGAGAAGGCCCTGTCACCTCTGCGCTTAAGACGAGTTCCTGGAACTGAGGAGCAACTGGTCCGCTGACCTCAGGGAACATGGTGGGACATAGAGTTGTAGCAGATCAGAGAGATGGGTGTGTGTGTGTGGGGGGGGGGGGGGGGG